CCCCAACCCCACACCCCCTCCCTTTTTCTTAATGGAGGGTGGACACTAAACCCAGGGGGCGGAGGAGGCGATCTAGGGGGGGGCTGGGAGTGCTGGGGGGGCTGGGAGTGCAAGGGTTTTTTTCTTTTTTTCTTTTTTCTTTTTTTTGTCTAGCGTTGGCACTTTAAAGAAGGGGGCTTGGAAGTTGCTCCCCTGAGTCTCACTGCAGCCTCCCCCAGCAGTGACAGGTGACATCCACGTGGGGCGGCCCCTGCTGCCCACACCTTAGCCTGGGGGAGGGACCGCAAGGCGGGGGGGCCTGCGGCCAGCTGAGCTCCGGAGAGGGGGGCCGGAGTACAGGCAAGTGAGCTCAGCTCACACCTGGGCAGGTCACATGGCAGCCAGGTGGACACAACTGGGCAGGGCAGGCCAAGGTCATGTGAGTCATGTGGCCGCCAGATGGGGAACCCAGGGGGATGACAGCCAGGTGGGCACTGGGAGGGGTAGGTCAGGCAAAGGGCAAAGCATGCAGGCAGGTAATGACATAGACAGACAGGGACATGACAGCTGACTGGGCACCCATAAGGATGGAGCAGATCAGAGACAGTACTTCCAGGTGGCCACTCCCATGGCCCAGACCAGGGATGTTATATCCACTGGACATTGACATGGGCTGGGCAAGGTAGGGGCATTTTGTCAGCTGAACACTCCCAGCAGGGACATGGCAGCTGGCTGGATGTTTTCATAGGACGGGCTAGGTCAGAAACATTACAGCTAAATTGTGCCTTCTGTAAAGCCAGCCCAGAGACGTTCTCTCCAGGTTGTCATTGTCGTGGGCAGGCGAGGTCAGATCTGGGACGTTACAGCTGCACGAGCACTCACATAGGCTGGGGCAGAGACTTCTATGCCAGGTGGGCAGTCGGCTAGGGAGGCCAGACAGGGCTGTGAATCCCATAAGTCAGATTAGGTTAATTCTGTTTAATGTCTTTTAGGTTTCATGCTTTGCCATCAGCTTTGGTGCCAGGGGGCTGGGATCTAATATGTTTGAAACAGAAACTTTAAACCATCAGAAGCTTTTTGTGTGTGCGTGCGTGTGTGTGCACACATACGCATTGTGATGAAAGATGGGCATATTTACACCCATTTTAACCTGGTCTTAGGTCTGTCCTTTCAAACCGCAATACTGAATGATATCCATGGAAAATCTACCAGCCCTTAATTCCAGCACAGCTTTTGTGTGGCCGTGTTGTTCCTCCACTGCTGGAGAAAGAAGGGAATTAGCCGGTTAAGTGCCGTGTGCCTATAGAAAGCGTCGGGATATCTGTATAAAACACGGAACATTTCTGTAAGAAAGTTACCAACTAGCGGATCAGCCCGTGATTTGGAGAAAGACTAACAGAAATTGCTGTGGAACTAGGGAACTGCTCAGTCCATTCATCAGAGCGTTGCCCTGGCTCCCGTCGACAGCCAGAAGAAACGATAATCAATACTGAGGGAAAGTGAATTGTCAGAAACTCACAAGAACAACAAACATCAGTTTAGCCCATTGGTTTCTGCTAGCTGTTGTTTCTGACTCTCTCCTCGTGCCGTTAGCTTCTCCGTTCTCCAGGGCAGGGATCTGTGACCTTTTTGGCACCGTCCTACCCCTGAATAATGCCATGAACATTTGCAGCAATTTATAAATGATTAATAATAAGTAAAGCAAGTGGATATTGGCCTGCTGCACATCCTTTGCACCATGATTAGCACTTTACCTGAGAAGGTCACGCTGGTATGCCAGGGGAAAAGGATTTGTTAAAGACCTACAGGCCATTGGCATGTGGACTCACTGGGGACTGATAGGTCGTGGCAATTAGTAGCTAGTGGGGATCAAGCCAGGAAATGCTGGGTTAGATAGTAAGGGCCAAATTCAGGTGGCAGTGGATGTAACTCCATTAATTTGACCCAGCATATTTAGTGATGAGCGGAAACGGACGGGTTTTTATGCACAGCACTGTTTTCCCTCTTACAGTTAGTGTTACATTAACTCAAATACCCATAGATTTCCAGGAAGCAACATGCCAACTTCCTATCTGCTACCTTGAAATGCCAATAGCTATGTGTCAACACTGGTCCCCCCGGACCCAGTGACACCAGATCAGTTCACAGGACAGAGAAAAAATTGCCTGAAAAAGTTAAGTTACGGTGGTAGCAGGTTTACCTGTGTAAAACACGACGGACTTTAATAGGACTTGTGCCAGCTTATGCCAGGGCTGAATATGTCCTGTGGGATTAGAGTGGGATACACTCTCCAAGCCCCAATTCATGTTATCCAGACACGTTTGCATGAAAGCAAGTTTGAAAAATATATGTAGATTTTGTCACCTTGTACAATTAGATTTTTCAGAGCCCTCTGGTAAATAGTCTCTCCCTCATTTGCTTTCTCCTCACTCCCATCCTTGGTCTCTGCATTATCGGGACTCCCCGTCCTATTGAGCTTTTTGAATCTTTGCTCCCCTCTTGTTCCGCCTCATCTGGCCATTTGTGTTGGTGAGAGAGAGTTCGTTTTTGGAGTAAAAGACATTGCATTGTAGAATGTGCTGCTTTAAAAGCCTCGCTGGCATCTCCTGGCCCATGCTGCTCAGGAGAGCGCTGAAAACTGGAACTCAGCTTCCCTGTGTAGCAGTTAGGTCTGAGATCTCTAAATCACAAGGCTGGTCCATCTCTTCTCCATTGCAGGGAGTCCGCTGGGTCAATTTCTTTGTTCCAATGTCATAAACAGAACTCCTAGCGCTGCTATATTTCAGATCTGTCGATTTCCCCCCTTCCTCCCCATTGTGAATCGCAACAGGGTTCCAACCAAAAGCTAAGGAAAGGGTGGAAAGAGGTTGGAAGTAATTGATCACCTGGTTCCAGCATGTGCCATGAAAGAGTGAGAAGTTTGGTTAAAATATGATGGGTTGATTTCTGCTCTGTTACCCTGGTGCAACTCCACTAAATCCATCAAGTTGTACCAGATTTGGCCCCCATGTAGATATAAGTAATTTTGTTATTATTTTAGGCTAGGAGGAAAGGTGTCAAAAGCAATTAGGTGGAACATAAAATATGTTGGAGAGTTTCTAAGCTGCCCCCTTCCTCCCCCAAAAAAGTTTGTTGTAAGAGAGCGTGTGCATTAAATGGAGTGAACAAAGTGGTTGGTTTGGTGGGACGGGGACATTTTTTGTTTAAAAGCTGTGGTTTAA